ATAATTTTTGAAAGTCTGTTTTATGAAGTGAAAAAACTAAAATAAATCCTTTTGATCTTGATGGAATGGTTTATGTCAAAAGACTAAAGAATGAAAGGTTTAATGAAAGGTTTATGACATTAACCATTAAATATAGTGGAAAATTATTAATAATTTTAGATTGTTTTTCATCTAAAAGTGTTAGAAACTGTGAAATTATTAAAGAAAACATGGATAGATTAAAATATACCAAAATTTTAAAAATTTATGGTCTCAATAAGAAAATTAAATATGGGATAAAATTATTTATAATAACAATACAATGACCCAAACATATATCAGTATTACCTACGATTTTATTTGAAAATAAAGATTTTATAGTATTTAAATGACCTTTAAACCCCTCTGGTATAAACCCAATAGAACACCTTTGGACTATTTTGAAGAGAAAAATATATTTAAGAAACTAAAGAATATTAAAGAATTAGAAAAATATATGGTTAAAGAATAGCATAAAATACCTAAAAAGTATGTAAAAAGTTTATTTTATTAATGAATAACATAATTTTTCATTGTTTAAGTAAAGATGTATTTTATTAAGTATTAATAGATATTATTTTAATTTTGTACAATACTTTTAAATTTCATCATATGTTACTTATAAAGACTTTTTTTAAAAAATACAACCCGTTTTTAAAATATATTTATTAATATTATGGTGTTGTTTCGATTAGCGCCTTAAAAAAGTTTTGGCGCCCCACGATCGGATTGGCGCCTCGAATTTTATATAAAATAAATTCTAATAAAATTTTTTAAAAAAAATTTTAAAATAAAAAACCCTTATGATTTATGAAACATTGCTGCAGATTTTGGGGGAGGAAGTATCTTTTTTGACCTTCCTGGAGGAAAGTGGCTGACTAAAATCTATGGTCGAAAGGTTTTGTAAATTTTGCGGCAGCAACAGACACTTTGTAAGGTCAAGAAAGAGAGTTGAGCAGATGCACTTCTTTCTCCGATGCAAATCGTGTCAAAGAGAATAAAAGCTCTTCGAAAATATTTTTTTGTTATGAAATAGAGAGAACACTACTTGCTATACCTATCCAGACATTGATTAAGCTAATCTTCCTTTATTTTAAGGGTGTGACGGTAAAATATGTTATGTCTGTCATTCAAATTAAAGGAAAAGAAGATGTAATCAATTGGACAAACTTTGTAAGGTTGGAAACTCATGATTAAATCATGAGTGGAAAACTAGGAGGAGATGACAAAGTTGTACAAATCGACGAATTTTTGTTTAGAGGTCGTCGAAAGTACAACTGTGGCAGATTGCTTCTTGAAGACTTTATGGAAAGTCTTGATGATGCTCGCCGTAAAAATAATTATTGTGAACATATCAATGGACCATGGGTTTTTGGCATGGCTGAAGAAGGATTTAGGAAGGTCAAAATGTTTGTTGTGGAAAAGAGAGATCGTGATTCTCCGCCTCCTCTCCTACTTGAACATGTGGATAAGAGTAGCAATATCTACAGTGATGGCTGGAAAGCTTATTCCGGACTAGGTACTGTGTTTAACGACCATAAGGTCGTTAATCATTCTGAAAATTTTATTGACCCCAATACTCGTTGCCATACTCAATTAATTGAGTGTATTTGGGGTCAAGCAAAATTGAAGATAATAAAGAATAAGAGGGGAACTACCTTTACAATGTTACAAAGCTATTTGAACTTTTTCTGTTTCTGTTATCAATTTAAAGAAGAATCTTTAGAAAATTTTTTAAAAATAATAGGAAAAGATAATTAGGATCAAGTGCAAAAATGAAATAAAAAAACTTAAATAATATTTTTAAAAAAGTTTTTAAACCCATGATTTATTGGTTTAGTATTATAATAGAACTCTTAGTTAGTGGTCCTGTAGAAGACCTGATAGAATTTCTACGCATTAAAGGCATACTCAAAAAGTATGTAAAGTGTGGAACGTGTCTTCTAGATATGAAAACAAAACCATACACTAGAAATAGTGATTGTGTGGCGTTCAGGTGTTGTAATAGAAGTTGTAATGACTTTTCTAAGTATGTTTCAATACGCACCAAGTCACTACTATTAAACTTTACTGTACCTCTTAGAGGCTTTTTATTAGTGGGTTGTAAATGGTTTTTTAACCATACACATGTACATTTAGGCATTGAGGTGAATATTGGGAAAAAGTCAATTATTTAAAACATTGATTTACTTCGTAATCAATGTTTTAAATATGAGACAAAAGTCCAATTCGTCTTGGTGGTGATGGTATGATTGTCTAAATAGACGAAAGTTTGTTTAGACATAAACAAAAATACCATCGAGGTAGATAACCAACAAGAGAGATTTGGGTATTTGGACTAGCTGATTGTTTATTTACTCTAGCAAAAATCTCATTGTATGTTGTTCCTAACAGGACTGCTAACACTCTACTATCAATAATAGAACGAATTTGTGCTTCAGGAACAATAATCCACAGTGATCAGGGGAAGGCATATTTAGGCATAAGTAGTAAATTAAGATTTGCACATTTCACTGTTAATCACAGTGAAGGGTTCGTAAATCACAATAACGGTGTTCATACTAAAAACATCGAAAGTGTGTGGAACAATTGTAAATATGTTATTAGAACGCATAAAGGAATTGTAGAATGTAAAATTAGACTTGTTTTATCTGAATTAACTTAGAAAAATAATTTAGGCATAAATAAAACTTTGGATGATTTATTGTGATTATTGAGATTTAATTAAATTTAGTTCTTTTAATTTATTTTTTATTTATAAATTATTTTTTGCACTTGTTATTGTTGTAAGGAAATTTTTGCACTTGATCCGATAATTAATAAATATTTTTTTGAAAAAAAATATTTATAAAATTTGAAGCATTAATCAAAACAGTACAAATAAATGTTTCAACTTTAACTTCCAGGTTAGTATAAATTTTTTTATATCATTTATTGCTCCATGTTTAAGTGGTTTTTTAAAGTATTACATCTTAATATTAATATTGTAGTTGTTTAGAAAAGGATTTAAATTTAAAGATAGTTGGTGTTGTGAGAAATAGGCATATTAATATTTTAATGTTAACACAAATTACTTAATTTAAGAATTCAAATATTTTTAAAGCTTTATAGTAATGTGACATGACAAATAACCACTTTTTATATTTAGTGATTTTGAACAAATATATATCAATAAATAATTTATTCTTATTATTTCTAAATATTTTAAATACACT